GCACCGACACTATTATTTGCCAATTTATTGTCTAAACCAAAAACCATATTATTAGGGTTTGTTTAAATCAAATAAAGTAATTGACTTTAATAGTTGAAAAATTCAAGTTAGAATACACAACTATGGCTAACATGTGATGCGCGAGAGCGAGACACGTCTTACACCACTCTATTTCAATTTGTTTGACCTACATTTCTTTCAAAAAATTATTTTTAATTTTATTTTTCTTTTTAATAAGTGGTAACTCTTTAATTCCTATTGTGAATCAAGATTGAGTTTTCTTGTGTAGGCCCAAAATGGGCTTTTCATAATTGACACAGAAAGTTTCCAAACTTGAGCCGAATACTCTATTTGTCCAACAATAGATGTCAATGACTTGGCACACCCCTTAAAATAATAAATAATAAAAATCATATTACTATATTATCTTTTAGCTTTATTAAATTTAATGTTTTGAAAAATGTGTTGAATGATAAAATATTATTTAATAGCAAGAATAAAATAGACACAAAAGGTAATTAAATTACCTCTTGATTTTTCAAATTGAATATGTATTATTGAATAAATATTTTTAATATATAGTGAATAACTATTATTGAACGGATAAAGTAACTTACAACAAGTTTGTAAATTATCAGTGCTAACTGCCAAACGACAGCCACATATAATAAGAAAAAAAACTATGTAAATACGACAAAATTAAAGAAAATGGACTCTAAATGACCGGAATAATCGAAATTTCCTCATCCATCATCAATTCGTGCGTATATCTTAACTAACATTTTCGGATCAAAGGTTGATACCAATCCTCATGAATTTATTTTGAATCGAATTTTTTTATCTCAATTTATGGAGAGAGAGCAACCCCATTTTTGACCCTAAATTGATCAAAATATGCGGACTTATAAACATTTTGAATTATGGTTACAAACAACATAATCAAAGACTTGACGATCATTTTTTTGTGATGGTTACAAACAGCACAATCTATCGTTTAATGGTTCAAATCACTTATTTTTTGGCCACAATACAAACTAGCAGGTCACAGTCAGAACTGGGCTGACAAAAGCGGGTCCAGAAAACGTTTCCTTCGGCCCAAAAACAACAAGCATGTGTTTGGTTCGGTGGTTGACAAGTTCTCCTCAACTCTCACTTACCCCTTTCCTACCACAATTCACCTAGTACATTTTGTTTTATTTTTTGCGTGTTTCACATATACATTTTATATTACTTAATAATCATTTTTTCCTTTCATTTGGGACTGTTTTGGTTAAGTTATTTGAATTAAGTCCTTCATGGACGTAAAAGTATATATATACTATTAATGTGGCATTGAGTGTTGTGTTAATGATGAGGAGCTGAGGCGAAGAATGGTTTTTTTGTAAAGGAAAATCTCACCACGCATCATACCATAATAGGAAAATTAGGATCAATCATCTTCACTTTTCTCCGACACAATTATTTGTTAGGTTGTAGCAAAAAGAAAAATTCTCTATTTGTAAGCTCGTTCACATTGTCGGTCTCAAGTTTGAATAAAGAAAAAAGATTGCAAGGATCAATCGAAATAACCTCTCTATTCTATAACAATATGAATTAGGTTGTGTCTATCTTATCCTCTTCAAATCATACTTACGAAATTACACTAGAATTGTTGATGTTGTTAGTAAAGAAAACAAAAGACAACTAACGACAAACGTCTTTTAGGAGGGCAAAATAATAAATAGACTTAATATTACAAGATTGAAAGAAAGAGGGGTTAAACGTAGTTTTGTAAGAAGTATAAGGAAGAAATGTAATTATGCAAGAAGTTTGTCTCGAAGCGGCGGGTGAACTCAGAAACCAACATCGAAACGTCGTAGTCACCGAGTTTCGGCCATGTCAATCTGCCCAAAGTTTGCCGGTCACCGACGGTGGGTCTACACCTCAATCAACTTCACCCATTTGTTCTCAACTACCGCCGGCGCCAGCGCCAGCGCCGGCACCGCCGGCACCGCCGTTGATGACCCCTTCAAAACCCACCCGTCGTACCAGCACCTCGCTACCATCAAATCCAAATCGGAGCTTCTCCAATCCTACACCGTTACCCCACCCATCAAACCATGGCCCCGATACCTCTCCCATAAAAATCTCATCTCACTCGTCAAATCCCAGCATGATGTTAACCTTTCCCTCCAAATTTTTCACCACGCTGGCAACTTCCACCCTGGTTTTTTCCATAATTATGAAACCTACCACTCCATCATCAACAAGCTCTGTCGTGCTCGGGTCTTTGATAAAGTTGAGACCCTTTTAGCTGAATTGCGAAATTCTACCATCAAATGTGGGGAAGTTTTGTTTATTAATGTGATTCGGAACTATGGGATTGCTAGTAAGCCCAAATTGGCCCTTAAGACCTTTCTGCGAATTGAAAAATTTGGAGTTCAGAGGTCAGTGAGATCATTTAATGCTTTATTGAATGCTTTAGTACAAAACAAAGAGTATGATTTTGTTTACGCTTTGTTTAAGAACAGCCAGAAGAAGTTGCATATAACGCCTAGTGTGTTTACTTGTAATATCTTGTTGAATGCTCTATGTAAGAAAGACGATATTAATAGTGCAATCAAAGTTCTTGATGAGATGCCTGTGATGGGAATAATTCCCAATGTTGTGAGCTACACAACTATTTTGGGCTGTTATGTATCACTTGGTGATTTAGTGGGCGCAAAGAGGATGTTTGATGAAATTGTTGACAGAGGGTGGTTGCCTGATGCAACGACGTACACTATCTTGATGCATGGTTATGCTAAGCAAGGGAAGTTTATTGATGCAGCTAAGATAATGGATGAGATGGAGGACAATGGGATTGGGCCAAATGAAGTGACGTATGGAATTATGATTGAGGCATTTTGCAAGGAAACGAAGTCAGGTGAAGCTATTAATTTACTTAATGATATGCTAGATAAGAGGTATATACCAAGCCCAACACTTTGCTCTAAGGTGATTGATGTCTTGTGTGAAGAGGGGAAGGTTGAGGAGGCGTGTGATTTGTGGAAGAAACTATTGGTAAAAAATTGTACTCCAGATAATACAATATTGAGCACACTTATTCACTGGCTCTGTAAGAAGGGACAGATTCGGGAAGCAAGGAAATTGTTTGACGAGTTTGAGAAGAGTTCGAGTCCTAGTGTTTTGACATATAACATGCTTATTGCAGGGATGTGTGAGAAAGGAAAGCTGCATGAAGCTGGGAGGTTATGGGATGACATGGTAGACAAGGGTTGCGTTCCTAATGCTTTTACTTACAACATGTTGATCAAAGGTTTTTGCAAAGTTGGAAATGCAAAGGAAGGAATTAGAGTTCTGGAAGAGATGCTTGACAAAGGCTGTCACCCAAACAAATCTACTTATTCCATCTTAATTAAGGGGCTTCTTGACTCTGAACTCAACGCAGAAGTTTTAAGGGTGCTTGCACTGGCTGCATCAGGTGATGTTGATTCTGAAACTTGGGGAGTCCTTGTGGCCAAGTTTGTTACTAATGTTCAAAATGTATGTTCCGTTTTGGATAAGACATTGTCAGAGAATGAAGTGTAAATGTTTGTTCTAACGTTCCTCATACCCAACATCTGATTCTAAAGTGGGAGCAAGCATGGTTCACAAAAGAATTACCCATTAATGAGAGTATTGTTCGTGCAGGCTCCCCCTGTGCAAACATTTCATAGTTCAGAAGAACCTTGATATTCTTTGGACGACAATGTCGGAGCCATTTGTGGAAGGAGGCTGGAAAATGAACATATGAAGCATGGGATATGCTGTTTGCCGACAACATAAAAGGCGTCAAAGAAGTAAAAGGGAATGGCTTTTTAACCATGTATACAGCTCTAGTACTGTATTACTCTGAGATAGAGTAGGTTAATTAATATTGTTGTAAATTATGTCCTTATTATGTGTAAAGGAAAGACATACTTGGAGAATCAATCCCTTAGCTCTTTACATAAATATTTACACTACATCATCATGAAATGTCCTCTTCCTTTCTTCACATATAAGTAGAACGAAAACTATGACCATAAGAAACTCTTCTTGCACTTGTCCAATCACATTACAACCAAAAGAAGAAGACGAGAGATATCTATGGAAGAAAAGAAGCAAAGCCTTGAAGAAAAAATGTCTACTTAGAGATATGATGCTTATGCCAAGCAAACTTGCAAAAAATTATCTTGCTGCACATGTCAAAGTTGCTTCCGGAATTGTTCCAATATGTGGCTAAAATGTAGAGGGGATTTCATTTATGTCCATTTGATTAATAAAATGAATCAGGCGTTCTCTCCCTGGCCTTGTTGGTAATTTGCTGAGAAAAAACAATGCTTCATGAGGAGGCAAGCATCATAACTGGCTAAGATGCCTTTATCTTCTTCATTGAAGTTAACACTTTTGCTATTTCCTGAACTTCTTTCTTACTGCTTCTAGTATTTCTGTCTTGTTTACAAAGACTAATTCTCAAGACAGCTTATATATTTAGCCTTTAGTCTATGACATCTAACATCATCCTGGTTCAATTCCAATGTATATCCATTTTTTAGGGTAGGGTAATTCCACCGAGGTCTTATATTCCTAGTAGGGTTCCTATATTCTAGCACATACCTAAACAAATAGCTTCGTAATTTCTGCAGCAAAACTTAGCTTTTCTTCACCTCTGTGATGGTCATGTGCAATTCATATGTATGTTATGAAGATTTGCACTCTAGAGATTTGTTTTTCGGATAATTGCATTTTTTGTCCCTCAGTAATTGGTAAAATTTTATTTTGATCATTGTGATCCCCAACATTGAACATCTAACCTTCAACAATTTTAAATGTTTGCTTTGGTACTTCAGTAACAAACTCTCACAAAGCCTCGACTGCTTTAGCTGTATGTGTACTTATTTTAGCATATCCACGTTTTGAGGATATTTGCTGAGATTGCTTGGACCTGTTGTTTTTTTTTTGCAAATACTCACTGCATGGTTCTTTCTGTGATTACTCTCCATGCTTTTCCTGTTTGATTTGTTTTTTATGGTTGTACATTAGATGATTTTGTCTTACTGATGTCAAAGGAAGTGGTCGTCTAAAATTGTAGGGAAGTCCTTTACCTTCAATACTCTTTTCATCTTATTACTGTTTCTCAGTGATTGGAAAATAGCTTTGAAAAGGTCAGGAATTTTTTCATTAAGATTCTTGCTGGTACATATAGAGAATCACATTGATTTTGGTCCTAGATGCAATGGCTGTTAAATCTGAGGTAGTTGTATAAGTTATAACAATGGACAAATGGTACTTCTTGGTTGCAGAAAATTAACTGATGGACTCACTGAATATACCAGATAAATCTGTAAGTTAGCTGACGTTGTTGATCTTATATAAGATCGAAAGCAATAACGTGGGAGCTAACTGCAGGGCTAGCTATTCTGTAACCATATTGAACTGAAGTGTCTGGTAAGTTTTTTAGTCCCTTTGTCTGAATTCAAATTGGCTATAGGGTACTAGCCTCTTCATTTTTGGTCTCTCATCACTAAATTTTGCTGTAGGAGCAAGGAGCGAAGCAGTTGGAGTTCTTTTTATAAGGGTACCATTTCCAGGTATATGATACTGAGAACTCTCAAGAATCTAGCTCATGATAGTCCTTTCGCTCGTTCTATCTCATACAACATGACAGCAGCAGCTAGCTGATTTCAAAGAGCCCGTGTGGATTTGCAGTACTAAAGGTGTGTTGATTGTTTGTGGTTCAATCAAATTGTTAGTTTTATGGAAGCTTAAGCTATTGTATGTGTCACTTAAAACTTAAATTAGTGATATCAAGAAGAGGTTTTCCTCACTTGCCTCTTTTTTTTTTCCAGCATAAAGTAAATGGTTCCCTTCATCTCAACAAGTCAACTTGAGTACAAGAGCACGTTTCCATTGTACTGAAGGTCTATAAGAAAAGAAAAGTAACTCATCCTGTGGAAATCCTGACCTCGTGGAATTTTCTCTCTTCATAAAAGTCTTTTATGTATTTATTTGACACATGGAACATCAAGTACGAGCAATACTGAAACAAAAGTCGTGCATGTTACACAATTCAGAATTGTTTCGAGAGTCAAACAGAATATGAATACTATTGGTCACAAAAATTGATGTCATCGAATTTTTAGAAAAAGACTCATTTATGTCATCCGTTGAAAGTTTGGCTCATTTGTGCCATTGATGTTAAAGAAAAGGCTCATCCATGCCATTTTTCTTAATTTCAATTTTGCAAAATCATTTTTACACCCCAAACTAAGTTTGACACTTTTTAATTAGAGTTTTTGGATTATATTTACACTTTTTGCTTCTTTTTCTTTAAGAATACCAAGAACACATGAAGAACATAAACTAACTCCCAAATTTTCAACATCTTCAATTCTTCATGAAATCATCTCAAATTTCAGCTACATCATTAATTTATTTATTTTTAAAAAAAATTCTAAAATCATTTGTAGAGTTTAAAAAATTCACTCATATTTAAAAAAATATTCTAAAAAATGAAAATCAGTCCCAAAATTTTAAAATTTTACTTTGATTTTTGTAGTTGTTTTTTTTATATTAAATCTCTGTTGCCTAGTGTTTTTTGAGTCTGTTCAAAATGTCAAATGATTTGGAGTTGCGGAGAAGATTCTATCATTAAAGAATTTGAAGTTTTGAAACATTGAAGGAATTTCAAGTGGGTCTTGTTGAGTTAGGTAGAATTCAAGCTCAAAAAGATATTAAGTTTTGGTATCTAGCTCGGAGGGAAACCATTCTTGAAATTTGAGGTGATTTCGTGAAGAATTGAACAAGTTTGAAATTTGGAAATTGTTAATGTTCTTTATGCGTTTTTGGTGTTCCTAAATAGAAGTAAAAAATGTATATTTGATCCAAAAACACCAATTGAAAAGTGTTAAACCTTTCTGGGGTGTAAAAAATGGTTTTGCAAAACTGGAGTTAAAAAAAAGGCATGAATGAGCATTTTCTTTAAGAACAATGATATAGATGAATTAATTTTTTAACGGATGACATAAATGAACCTTTTCTGAAAATTCGATGACATATTTGAGGCTTTTTCCTGTAAAATATTTAAAAGATATATGAAAAAATTAGAATCAAGCAAAGATTTGTGGAAAGAATAATTTTCTTCTGCAACTTGTGCGCAATGCTTTCAGTTAAAAGTCCAACAAGAAAAGGAGAATTTCTTATCGGCCGCAAGCCAATAATGGGAACTCGTATGTGGACCAGAATTGGCCGTTTTAAGTCTTCTTGTCATACTAATTTTTCAAACTTGTAACCTTTATGTTTTTCTTATTGGAGATTTTTAATTTTATACCTTAGATATCTAAAGTAATATACAAGTAACATTTGCCAAATTGAAAGTGAAGATAGTCATTTAGTCCTATTGATTTTAAAATTCGTATGAGATTTTTGTACTTTAAATTAGTTGCATATTAATTCATATATTTGAATTTAATTAAAAGTTCATTTTATTTGGGTTTTATCCATCCTGGAATGCAAATGAATAGCCCATTCCAAATTGCATGGGGTACGAAGTCAAGTAAATAAAGATAAAACATGTCAATATACTTTTTTTGGGGGGGATTTTTGTTTGCATTAGAGTCTGATTAGTGATTATTATAAATTACACTATCATTTAGAGAAAACACTTTCTACTAAAAAATTTTCCATACTCAACATTATAAAAATCTCTAATTAAAAAAGGAACAATTTTATCTGCTCCAAATCCATTAATGATAAACATGTTACATGTCGATACACAAGTGACATATTTTGCAGTTTTGGCAAATTGGATGTGATTTTTACTGGTTCAATCTGGTTAGTCCTAAGAAAAATAATTTTGAATTTCTCTGTCCCAATAATAAAATAGAGTTCTGCTTAAGCTCAAAAGATCATTAAAAATCACAACTGAGAGGTCTAAAGAATAAATACTTCCAAGGTTTTTTCTTTCAAGTATCCAAAATTAAGAAATAAGTCGAGACTTAAAGTAATATTCAAGCTTGTTAATTTAAATCATCCATTAATGATAAACATGTTACATGTCAATACACAAGTGACATATTTTGTAGTTTTGGCAAATTGGATGTGATTTTTACTGGTTCTCTGATTAGTCCTAAGAAAAGGTAGTTTTGGCAAATTGAATGTGATTTTTACTGGTTCAATCTGGTTAGTCCTAAGAAAAATAATTTTGAATTTCTCTGTCCCAATAATAAAATAGAGTTCTGCTTAAGCTCAAAGGATCATTAAAAATCACAACTGAGAGGTCTAAAGAATAAATACTTCCAAGGTTTTTTTCTTTCAAGTATCCAAAATTAAGAAATAAGTCGAGACTTAAAGTAATATTCAAGCTTGTTAATTTAAATCATCCATTAATGATAAACATGTTACATGTCGATACACAAGTGACATATTTTGCAGTTTTGGCAAATTGGATGTGATTTTTACTGGTTCAATCTGGTTAGTCCTAAGAAAAATAATTTTGAATTTCTCTGTCCCAATAATAAAATAGAGTTCTGCTTAAGCTCAAAGGATCATTAAAAATCACAACTGAGAGGTCTAAAGAATAAATACTTCCAAGGTTTTTTTCTTTCAAGTATCCAAAATTAAAAAATAAGTCGAGACTTAAAGTAATATCAAACTTGTGAATTTAAATCATCTATTTTGTGACAGCTGAATTTCACCTTATCCGTGACAATTATATCAAAATATTTGTGATGACAATACAAGTTCGAGATCACGCTTTTAGGTATTTGAATCGGACCAAATTCATCAAATTAAGATGAAGTTGAAAAGCTCATAAATTTAGTTTTAAAGAAAAAACTCACATAGACTTTTGTCACCCCACCTCGCGCCCGTGCTTATTTCTCATGAGATGGACCTTAGAAAAAGCTCACATAAACTTTTGTCACCCCACCTCACGCCCGTGCTTATTTCTTATGAGATGAACCCTACTCTAATACCATGTGAATTCAAGTCTTAGACCTAACTCACACCCCCAAAAGTCAGCTCTAAGGGAAGAAGATTATCCAAGCTTATAAGGAGTCCACTCATCTTATTAACCACAAATGTGGGACTTTTGTCATTCTTTAACAGTATGACTCGAAAAACTTAAAAGTAAATAAGAATATAAGGTGACAACATTAACATAGGTTACCATGGGACGATTAAAACTTTTGATGATTTTTTTTTTGAATTTTAGCTCTTGGAAACTGAAAAAATTATACTATTAAAATGTCTTTGTTGTCAATTTGTGTTTAAAACAGAATTACTGATTCCAATAAACTTTGCAGAAACACGAAGTAACCAAAGTTTTAATGAACCAGTAAGAATAGAAGAACATAAATTAATTCAGAACAACTAAAATCTGTAAAACATACTAGAATTTGGAAAAAGACAGAGCGGAAAAGATCAAGTCCACTGAATGCTCAGTGTCTCCTTAAGGAAATTATTCCCCTCTAATATCCGAGGTTTGATTTGGAATATGTCCTCCCAGGATAGAATAATCTCAATCATCAGTGTATTGATACCCAAAACTCTGGTGTCAGCAAACTACTCAACAACAGTAAAATACACGAAGAAACTTTATGCAAAAGAAATCAGAAAAATTCGTAAGGAAAAAATCTGAAGAATCAATGTATTTATAGGCAAGAGGAACTGGTTCTGAAAGGTTGCAACCCTTTCAGAATCTACACGACCATTCATGAAAGTTTGCAACCTTTCAAACGGTCATGGTTGTTTATGAAAGTTGCAACCTTTCAGAACAGTCACTTTCAATGGTGGGAAATTCAAATAAAATGGGAAAGAATTTAAATAAAACTGGTCGCGCGCGGATCTGAGTTAGGTCGGTCAATTAACTGAATAATTGAAACGTTTCGGTTAATTAACTAATTAATTGAAACGTTTTGGCCATTTAATTAATTAAATAAATAATTAACTAAATAATTAAAACAAACTTTATCCAAAAAATAATCTACCAAAGCTGAGCGACGACAGCGCGAGGGGGTCCCTCTTTCCAACCCTTTTAACAATTAATAGGAGTGTTTTTATATTTAAACTATTCTATTTTTCTTTCCACCACCGATGAGGGAGAAATATCTTTTCACTAAAGCATAAGAGGACTTTTCAAGTTCCCAACTTTCCAAGTTCCTCCTTTTTCATCTTCCATCCATTTTCCATTAACTTTTGCTATATACCCAACAATCTTTCCTCCACCCTCTAAAGCAGGCCCTAAAATACGTAAATTCAAATTTCAATACAAACGCAAAACATCCACTGTGGCGAAAGAAAGAAAAAAAGCACAAGTGACAAAACTTGGTATCATCCTTTCCAAATCTTGAACGCGCTCTTTACTTTCCCGGGACCGGAACACGGCCTTGAAATGGCACGTATGATTATTTTTTAATTTACCCCTTGCAAAAGTTAACAGCACGAGTCCACTGTCCAACCAAGCATTTTTCTGCCATGATACAAATTTAATAGAATTGTTAATACAAGTGTTGAACACTGAGCTAAAAACAAAAAATAATTGCATGAATAGGTAGAAATAGACCTGGAAAGTAGAAATAAATGATACTCCCTCCGTCTCATTTTATCTGAGGTAGTTTGATTGGGCACGAAGTTTTAAAATTTGTGATTCAAAATGAATGATAGAAATTTGTGTAGCTGTAAATCATTTCATTAAGGATAAAATAGATATTTTATAGTGAAATTGTTACTTAATATAAAAATATGTCATTATTTTTAGAACTGATTAAAAAAAGAAAGTAAGTCACATAAATTGAGACAGAGAAAGTAATATATATATGTAAAAGTAAAAAATGGAAGAAGCCCCACGTAGAAAGAAACTTGGGCCAAGTCCTTTGTACTGTACCACTTTGGAAAAGTTCAATGCAATTTCTCAATCTATTTTGTTAATCTTCTTCTTATTATTACTTCCTGGTATTTTCGCCTGCATTTCTTGCCAAAACCAAAATATCATGTATCTCGAGTTTGGGTTTCGATTTTTCCAATTTGTTTTTTTTCAGCTAACTCTCTAGCACAGTCAACAAAGCTTTTGATTATTTGAGTTGGGCTATCAAATTTTTACAATTCTTGCCAAGACTTTGTAACATAACAACCCTTAATCAGGTCAGCTATCTATATTATCAT